CTCTCTCTCTCTCTCTCTCTTTCTTTTTCTCATTCTTTTTTCCCTCTCTCTTTCTCATGCTCTTTCTCTTTCTATTTCTCTCTCTCTCTCTTTCTCTTTCTCTTTCTCTTTCTGTTTCTCTTTCTCTTTTTCTTTCTCTTTCTCATTCTCTTTCTCTTTCTCCTTATGTCTATCTCTCTCTGTCACTCTCACTTTAAATGTGTTTGATTTGGTCTGTCTGCCTCTCTCCCATTTAGACTCCGTCTCTCTCTCTCTCTCTCTCTCTCTCAATCTCTCTCTCCCACTCTAGTACTCATTGTCTCTCTCTCTTTCTTCATCTTTCTATTTCTCTCTCTGCTTGGTCTATCTATTTCTCTCTTTTTTCATATTTCACTCTTTTTTCAACTCTCTCTATCTCTTTCTCTTATATCTTCCTTTCTGTTTCTCTCTCTCGCGCACTCTCTCTTTCTCTCCCTTATTCCCTGGTCTCTCTCACTCTGCCAATATATCTTCCGCTCGATAGAGATATATATTAGAGATATCCATCTCTCTCTTCCTCTCTCTTTCTCTTTTTCACTCTCTCACTCTTTATTTTTCTCTTTCGCTATCTCTTTATCCTTCTCTTTCTCTCCCTCTACATTTATTTTTCTCTCAATATCTCCCTCCCATTATCTTTCTCTATCTTACTTTCTCTCTATATATCTTACTCTCTCCCTCTCTTTCTCTCTCTCTTTTCTTTCATTCAACCATTATCTTTCTATCTCTATTTCTCTCCCTTTCTGTCTCTCTCTCTCTTTCTCTCTCCCTCTCTCTCATCCTCTTTCACTAACCATCTCTCTATTCCTTCCCCTCCCACACTCATTATCCCTATCTCTCTCTCTTCCCATTATTCCCCCCTCTCTCTCTCTCTCTGTTCCTCGCTCTCTCCCACAATTCGTTAGCTTGCAGAGTTCTGGGTATCAGCTAGTCGAGCACTCTTAAATCGATCACTTTTACTTGTTTATTCGACGATCAATTTTGTACCTTCCGATTTTTGGCGTTGCCTCGGGCTGCGCTTTGCATTCCGATAAGGCAACGCAGCCGACAAGGGCGCAAAAACCACAGAGACAGAAGCAGCTAAGGCTGAACCAGAAGCAGAAGCAGCAGCAGCAATTGCCCTTTCGAAACATCTCGCTGGAACAATATGAAGTGGATTCAGTTCTCTGAGGTAAGCCACCTTGTTTATATGCTAAGCCTTCTTATCCCTTAAGATGCACAACTAGGTTGAGCTGCCATTAAAGGTAGCATTGCTCTTAGAACTCAAATCTGCTCAGGTGGATCCATTTAATATGATTCTTCAGTTCTATAGAGTTTCTAGTAAAGATTCTATGAAAACTCATTTGAAAAATGAATTAAAATAAAAATAAAATGATAAAACGAGCTATAGCTAGATCACATAGACATACTTATAGACATACATATTTATGCAAAAGTCAAGATTTAATTTTTTATTTTTTATTTTTAAGTATATTTAAGCTCTGCCCATTAGGACAATGATTAAATTTGATGAAGTTTCTATATGAAATGTCTATTCGATATATGTTATATGATATGACGAAACTCTTGATAATGGGGGTGATTCCTGTTGAATTAAGATGTTAAGAATTAGTTAATAATATTCGTATATAATCAATATTCAGATTTTCAAATCAACTAGGAACAAGTATGAAAGCTCTAATCGAGTACGACTAGAGGAAGTAATATTTGAATAATTTGCACACACACACATATATATATATATATATATATATATATATATATAATTTTATTTACCAAAGCAAAGGTCTCTAGTATTTGCAAATCTTTTGGGATGGGAGCAAATTTGAGGGGGGATGGAGAGTTGGAAAATAAACAAGCAAGAAGGCTCTAGTCGAAACTGCTTGACTGGGAGATACCTTGAAGCCTCCCAGCTGATATTCAGGTCTGATAGACAGGGCTATATCGACTATGCTCGTTCGTTGCCCTGATCAAGAATATATATACTTTTTGGGGTCTGATCAAGAATATATATATTTTGTGGGGACTGCGTTGATTCCTTCTGCCTTTTACATACATTTCACAAAACCATTATACCCTGATTTCCCCTTTTTTAATGGGTTCCGGGTATACAAAAAATCGTAGTTCTCTAAAATATACATGAGTATATAATTAAAATTTAAAGACTCTAGCTCTCAAGAAGTAGGAGATATAATTATATAGCTGATTTTCGATCCGATTCTTAATCGATAACAAAATAAGTAAGAACGTTGCAGGCGAGCGTTACCGACTGCGGAATGCTCATTCACAGCCCATAAGCAATTGAGTATCCAAGTTTAGCTCTAATGAAGAATAATGAAGAAAATGCAGTTTTTCTCGTTTCTGGAAAATACATTTTCCAATTTGCCACGCCCCCAGTGGGCGGATGGGAAAAATTTGAACACTTTATCAATCAGATATTATATATATCAGAGATGTTTTCCACATTTCACATTTCTAGCATCACTAGCGCCGAAATAAACTGCGTTCATACGAGCAGACGGACGGACGGACAGCAAGTCGGACATTGCACAAAACCCATATACTCATTTCACTTTCGTGAATGGGAATTAATAACGGAAGCACTCTGGAAACCAACTTGATCTGGTAATATCCGAGACGAACAGGCAGACAAAGCTAAATCGACTCAGTTCGTCCTACTAATCAAGAATATAAGTACTTTATGGGGTCTGCCACGCCTTCTTCTGCCTCTTACATGCATTTAACTAAAGAAATTCGATTCGATTTGATTTGATTTTAAGCAAACATTACGTACTTATTTCCCACTCTGAGAGAGCTTGGGGGCTGAGGTGGGTGTCAGATTCATTTGCGACGCCTGAGCTTGTATGACATAGCTGTCTGCTGTGAATAGGAGTCGAGCAATTTAGAGATAAATACGTCTATATGATCTAGCTGTCTGTCAATGGGATATCTGAACCAAGCCCAAGCCATCAAATGTTGATTTCGAGGAATGCCAATAAACAAACAAAGCCCGAGGCGCATGGAGGAGCTCAATCAAGAGTTGACCAATCGTTGCTATGGAAGTCAGTAGAGAGCTCTCGGATTTCGCTGGCAAGTAAATCAGAAAGATTATACGTCATATGTAAGGCAAATAGATTGTTCCAATAGGTTTATATTAGGTTCCCAGGCAGTAATAGTTCGATACGAACTAATTTCCAATTGAAATGTAAGATTTAAAATTAATAAATAGAGCAGTAAAACACCTAAATTTGAGAGGGAGAGAGAGAGAGAGAAAGAGAGAGAGAGAGAGAGAGAGAGAGATATATGTATGACTCCTGCAAGCGCTTGATGATAATCGATTCAATTCATGTCGATTGCTGAGTAATGAAGATGTGAGAACGGAAATAGGAGGAGACAGGCAACGCTTCAGTGTTGGAAAGTGTCAAAAATTTGCAGGGTAATCGCAGCTCCGTTGTCTGTTTATGTCCGCCTATCTAGTGGGCTTTGATTTGCGCCAACTTTGGCTGTCACTCGATGCAGAATTGTGGCCGTGTGTCAAACAGCATTGAGAGCGGAAAATTTAGCAAAGTCATAACGAAAAAAAAAAAAAAAAAAACAACTGAATTTTCCCAATTTTATTATCATTTATCTCAGATAAACCTGAGAATGCAGAAGGCACACAAGGCGATTTGGGAGCGCGACTACATCAAATCGATACTGCTGGCCCGTGATTCGTTCAAAATGAAGAAAACCCTGCCGCCCATACAGGAGGATGACAGCGAGCTAATGCCAGACGAGCAATCTGAGGAGCAGAGCTTCGGCGTCAGTCTGTCCCAGCAGTTGCAGAAGCTGGCGGTGATGGATGAGCCCGACGTGATGCCAATGTCGGGAGTGGAGTCGCCGCTGAACACGATGGATACCAGCCAGTGCCAGGAATGGTCATCGTCCGTCCAGGGCAATGGCAAGCGCATCTGCACCGAGAACGGCGTTTGGGGTGCCTACGGCGGCGGCACGGACATCGACTACTCGCCCACATCGAGCTCCGATGATCAGCAATCGGACTCCGAGCTTGTGCCGGTGCGTCGTCGTCGCCATCGCAGCTCCAATAGCATTTAGAAACAGCCCGTCCATCATAGCCAATGCGTGCTCCATTCACAAACTATAATAAATATCATTTGAAGGTGAAGCAACGAAGAGGAAGGCGAACAAGATGAAGAGAAGCGAAGAACTGGACAAAGGCAGATTAAATCTAGGCTAATCCTGATATATGATGCGCTTCCTAAGAAACTTAGCTCAACTCTAGATGTGAATGGATAATATATATATATCTATACTTATATCTTTATATACATACATATATACACAATTATAACTGAAGCTAGTTAGTCACAAAATAAACAAAAAAATATATTTAAATGCATTTACTATTGGGCGCAGTACGAATTAGAGCAGAGAATCTGGCCTTAGACTGTATCGAGCTAAGTTTTCAATTTTTCCATTCGGTTCTTGATGTTATATAGACCAATGCAACGAAGAAATGAACGATCGAGAGGGCTTCGAAGCTGGGAATCAGCAGATCCTTAAAGAAAGCTTTAAGCTGACGAATTGGAGATTCTCGAGTAGATATTTAAGTAACTTTTGGATAGTAGGTGAAGAGATATGATATGGGCCACCCCAAGGAACAGGTTCTTAACACGATTTACTCTCTGTTTCATTGCTGATCCATCATAAAGCTCTATGTAACTCTATATTGAATGTCATTATGATGTTGAAGCTGAAGATTAAATGAGAGTTTATACAGTCTTATGCGGTATAAGAGGCGTATCTTTGGTTATACTCACTCGTTGAGCTCTCACGGCATTAAGTGCTTGTTATCTGAAGTGACCTGAGAATTATTATTATCAGAGATCAAATAGCACAGATAAAAGTTAGACTCTAAGCAGGGTTGGGGGCGCTTAAGATAATATGTGCCGGTTAGGTAGTGCAAATACCAGGTAAAGAGTAAACGAAATGAGTACTACGTGCTCCATAAAGTGCGCAATAGATGGCGCATTTATGAATATGAAACTGCAACAGTGTCCAGGGATCCTCAAGCTCCTCAATTTCAATATAGTTTTATGGAATTTTCCTGAAATCAGACGAAAAGTCCTTGTGCAACTGCCTAAAATGCAGTGAAGTTCAATTGCAGTTAAATCGAAGGTTATGTCTGAGCTGTGATGTGGTATTGTTGTTGTCTTCTTCTTATTCCTTGTGCGCGCACGCACACACGCACACACACGCACACACACGCACACACACGCAGCGCAGTCAGCGACATTTGCGACGAGGCGAACCACATCCGGACTGGGATTGGGGAGCTGAACGCTGCCCACAGCTCATCAGCCTTCGCAGCTGCTGCTGGCGGCGCTGCCGCTACTAGTGCTGCTAGTGCTGCTGCTGCTGCTGCTGCTGCTGCTGTTGGCGCCTATCTCTCTGCTTGGCTCTGTCGAGCCTAAATGCAGTAACAATTGCACCTAGCACAATCAGTTAAGAGCCTCCGCTCGTGCCAAACGGTTGTGCGCATCTTTAATACGCAGTTTACAGTTTAAAAGTAACAACAGCAACAACAACAACAACAATAACAAAAGCGAACTTTAAGCAGTCAAATTTTGCTTGGCGGACATTTTGTTTTCGTCAAGTTTCTTTGCGTGCGTTCTTCTTAAACACACACGTACACTGACACATACATAAGTATACATATGTGTGTGTGTTTTCTTCAATTTCGCGTGTGCCGGCAACAATAGAGAAACAGCAATTGCAACAACAACAACAAATAACAGTTATTTGCTGCAACCGCAAGTCAATCAAATAGTTTTTGTGCCTTTTTTCCGTCTCGCGCCCCGCGCTCATCCTCTCTAACCGTTCTCTCCCATCGTCTGTTTCGCTCGCTCGCCCAGTTGATCGCGCTCGCGTAATTCAACCCCCTTTCCGTGTATTGTAGAACTAACAAATACAACTACAGTATTTACTTAGAGCTTTGCTCTAAACTCGTGAGTGTTTGTTTTTTGTTTTTGTTCATTTTTGTTTTGTTTTTTGCTTTTATATTAATTGTTGTTGTTGTTTGTCTTCAACTTGTGTTAGTCTCCAGTTACAAAAGCCACGACGTCTCGACTACTCTGATAAGCAGCAGCAGCAGCAGGTGAGCATGCATATATGTACATACGCACACATGCGCAGAGCATAGCATCCACATGCACACATACACACACTCGCTTGGGCAAATTAAGTTCCACAATGTTCTAAGCGTTTTGCGGTTTTCCTGTTGGCTCCCAGGCGCCATCTAGCGGCAAAGCAATCAATCAATCAAGCATTTACGCATATCAGTTTACACGCAGCTTAACTCTGTTGCTATGCCTGTCTCTTTTGCACTTGTTAGACCTGTGGGCGTTTGCATAAATCAAAATTTGAACAGCAAAGAACGAAATTAGAGTATATCATAAAATTTATATGTAAATCCAAATTGAATTTCAATACAATTTAAGCACTTTGCCATATTGTTGCTTATTTTTACGATCCATGGCCATAAGCGTGGCTAATTCTCGGATTCAATAATTTATGATCGTCCATATTGCCATATCGTTTGTCATTTATCGTTTATCGTTAATCGCTCGCCAGACAGGGCATTGGCCACACGCCTTCCTACGCGATTCTCACTCAGACGAACAATCAATTCTATTGATACGTCAAATGGAAATCATCATTGACAAATTAAGCAACATATGTAATTCGTTGAGTTATTGGACGCGAGCGATGGGTTCATTAATAAATTTCAAATTTATCTGAATTTGTTGTAATTATGCAGATGGTTTCGCGTTATTTACGATCCATGTCATTTAGGCCATACAACTAACTGATTTATTTAGCTTGTTGGGTTGGCAATGGGTCCCAAGCTGCACAATCTAGGGAAGCATCTCTTTTATTCTGACTTATTTTGATGATAATGCATGTCCGGGATATGCGAAAATCCTAGAGAATATATACATATGTACATATGACAAATGCATAACGGAGAAGTAGGGAAAACTCGTTGAATGAAGATGAGGTTGGGAATGGTCATGAAAATCAAAGAATTGTAAAGACATATGAAAGGCAATATAAAATATAAACTATAAAATATAAAATATCAAATATATTATATACAATATAAAATATATAATATAAAACATAAAATATAAACTTTAAAATATAAAATATGAAATAGAAAATATAAAATATGAAATATAAAATATGAATCATAAAATACAAAATATAAAATATCAAATATAAAATATAAAGTTTACAATATAAAATATAAAACATAAAATATGAAATATAAAATATCAAATATAAAATATAAAATATAAAATATAAAATATAAAATATAAAATATAAAATATCAAATATCAAATATAAAATATCAAATATAAAATATGAAATATGAAATATAAAATATCAAATATAAAATATAAAATATAAAATATAAAATAT